TTCAGGCTGGCCTTGAGCTCACTTTGTAGCCCAGGCTGGCCTTGAACTCGCAACAATCCTCCTGCCTCAGCCTCCCGAGTGCTGGGATTACAGGCGTGCAGCACCACACCTGGCCTCTTTTTCTCAATAACACAGTAATTATATGAGAAGCCAAGATGGCCTAGGCAGGCAGCATGCAGCCCAGAAGTGGCTCCCGGATCGCTCGCTGTGCCCTGCCCCAGAGTGGTGACAGCGAAAGCTCAGCGGAGGGCAGCAGGGCCTGGCCACAGCTCCAGAGCCAGCCCTTGCTCGGGAACACCAGTGTTCTGAGTGGGGAGAGGACGGGGCTCCGTGTGCACCACACGTGGGTCCCACAAGCACTGAGCCTCTGGGCGCTGGCAAGGTGAGAGTGAGGGCACTCTGGAATATTGCTGTGTACCCCGAGCTGGGCATGGCATGGGACAGGCTTGCCCCCCCAAGAAGTTGGCACACGCTGTGCAGTGAGGAAGAGAAGCGCGGCGGCCATCAGAGAGCTTTATCCCAGGGGCCTCACTGCCCCCTTCTGGTCTGCCGCACCCCAGGAGCCGCTCCCGCTCTGGGGACCGTTACCGGCGGGGTGGCCGGGGCCCCAAGCACCACAGCAGCAGCCGCAGCCGCAGCAGCTGGTCCCTCAGCCCCTCCCGAAGCCGCAGCCTGAGCCATAGCCGCAGTCGCAGCCCCAGCCAGAGCCGGAGCCGCAGCCCCAGCCTCAGTCAGAGCCGCAGCCACAGTCACAGCCGCAGCCGCAGCCAGAGTCACTCACCGTCGCCCCCACGGGAGAAGCTGGCCCGGCCAGCAGCGTCCCCTGCTGTGGGCGAGAAGCTGAAAAAGTGAGCAAGAGCCTGGGCGGTGGGTGAGGGCTGGGGTCCAAGTGTGGCAGCCTTGGGGAGGGAGGGAGCTCCTGGGGTCCTGGGGTGGCCCTGCCTTGGGGGCCTGTGGGTGGAGCTGGCTGAGGGGTCTGAGAGGGACGGCGTTACTCACTGGGGCATCTGGCTCGCTGTGCTGAGGGCAGTGCAGAGGCTGTGGGCTCAGAGGGGGCAACTGCCTTTTCGTCCCACCCAGGACCGAACCTGCCGCTGGTAAAGAGACAGGAGCTGCCAAAGTCAGTAAGAATTTGGAACTCGCCCGTCTAATTCCCGCAGCAGCAGTGCCCAAGAGCTGGGCCCGGTGGGCCTGCAGGGGCACCTGGGTGGGCTGGGATGCAGCCCCGGGGACTGAGGCTGGAGGGGAGCGGAGGGACTGCCCCTGAGAGTGTGTGCTCTCCCCGCCTCCCTGCGCACTGGGCTGCAGCTGTCCCAAGCCTCTGAGAGCCTCACGCCCTCCCCTCCACATCCCCGCAAGCGCCAGGCTCTTGGCTGAGGAGTCCCTGGGCGCTCTGGGACACCCACCTCCTCCTGTCTCTTCCCCTCCCCAGCCCAAGCTGACACCACAAGAGAGGCTGAAGCTGAGGATGCAGAAGGCGCTGAACAGGCAGTGTACGTCCCACCCCTGTCCCTGGGCCTTCCCGAGGTCCGGGAGACCCTGGGGCACACTGGGGAGGAGGGGCGCTCGCTGCTGCGGATCTGGCTGGCCACTCTCAACCCCGCCGCCTGGGTAGGAAGCCGCTTTGAGGGTGCCCTCAGCCATGTGCCTTCCTTCCACAGTCAAGGCGGATAAGAAGGCGGCTCAGGAGAAGATGATACAGCAGGAGCATGAGCGGCAGGTGAGGGAGAGACGGGCCAGATGGGACGGGACAGGGTTATCCCGTGGCTGCTGGCCGGGCCACACCTCACGGCTGCTTCTGCTGCAGGAGCGGGAAGATGAGCTGCGCGCCATGGCCCGCAAGATCCGGATGAAGTAAGGCTCCCCCCCAACTCTCCTGTCTGTCCGAGTCCCGGCCTCCCCTGGACTGCCCTGGCTGGAGCCCTACCAGCCCCCGGGTCAGATCCGAGCCAGCGAAGCTGCCCCTGACCTGGCCCAGCAGCCTGGCTCCCCACTCCCAAGCTTGCCATGTGGGCTGTCCTCTTGGCACCCCGCCCCCAGGACCGTCCCTGAGCATCCTCCCGGTGCAGCGCCTCCAGCTCTGCCCTGTGCCCTGCTCCATCCTCTCTCTGGTCCTGACCTCCCTCCACCTGAAATGAGCTCTGTGGCTGTTGCCTCAGTTAACTGTGTCTCCACTAAGACGTTAGGTCTGGCAGCCCTGCCGTCAGCACCCGAGGCTTGTTAAATGTTTGTTGAATGAATTGAAGCCAGTCCTGGGGACAGGGCCTTTTTTCTCCTTATCCTGTCTGTTTTCTTCCTTTATTCCACTGCTTGGTGAGTGGTGGTCCAGGGCTCGGAGCCTGAATCACACAGACTTGCGGTTCAGTTCCCGCTGATCATGTGGCCCTTGGGAAGTGGGACAGTCCCCAGGGCCTCCTCAATGGGCGCAGGGCTGCAGGCAGGAAGGGGTCAGGCAGGCAGAGCTCGTGTTGGAATTGGCTCTCATCCCCTGTTGCTGAGTGCCCGCAGACGAGCACGTTACCTGTCGGAGTGGGGGCTCCTGTCTGTGAGCCACAGAGGTGACTGCACCGGTGCCGCCTCTGTGGGATCGCGGTCAGGCTCAGCGGGTGCCCGGGCTGCGCTGTCCCTGCTTTTGTACTGTTTATCACACGCCTGAGGTGTTGCGGGGCTTCAGGGGGTGCACGCGCTGCCGTCAGAAGGTGGGGGAAGGGTGGCTGGAGACTTGCTCGTGTCATGCTTGCTGTCTGACCCTGGCTCTGCCACCTGCCACCGTGGACCTTTGTCCTGAGCCTCAGTTTGCTTGTCTGCTTATGGCGATGGGAACCCGTCCCCCTCGTGGTTGTTGGGAGGATTCGGCACAGTCGAGGCCTGGTGCAGGGAAGGCAGCCAGTGAGGAAGCTGCCATTGGGGTTGCCGTCCTGACCCCCAGCATGTACAGGTCCCCAAGCGGTGATAGAAAGTGCTAGAACTGTCCAGCCCTCCTTCGGGTTTGCTCTGGAGGCTTGGCTGGCAGGGCGCACTGGATTCCAGTCCCCCAGCCCGCTGCTCTGCCTCCCGGTGCGTCCGTTCCCGCAGGTGCTCACCCCTCTCCTGGTTGCCTCCCCTTTCTCCCTGCAGGGAGCGGGAACGCAGGGAGAAGGAGCGAGAGGAGTGGGAACGCCAGTACAGTCGCCAGAGCCGCTCGCCCTCGCCTCGTTACAGTGAGTGTCCCCGCTGCCCCCGGGCTCTGCTGGGCAGGAGAGGCCGAGCCTTGGAGGCCGGAGAAGCACCCGAGCCCAGAGCTTTGAAGCCAGCCTGGGCAGGAGCTGGACCCTGTCTCGGAAACAAAAAGGCGCCAGTCAGGCTCACTGAGAGTGCAGTGCATTTCCAGCCACAGCCTTCCATAAATTAAGGCTTTTGAGGTGTGTGCGCACACACAGCTGCCCCCTGCACGAGAATACAGAGCAGCTGCAGGAGTGAGAGCCGCTCATCCCCAGCACGCTTGGGCTGGCAAGGGCGACAGGGCGTGGTTGGTGGGCTCCACAAGTGTTGGTGTCTCCTTGGGGAACCTGCCCAGGTCAGGAGCAGCCCTGGCCCTGGGGCAGTGGCTTTCACTGAGCTGCCCGCTTTTCCTTTCCAGGTCGAGAATACAGCTCCTCCCGAAGGTGAGCAGCCAGTCCGCTCCCTCCAGGGCACCCTCCTATCCCCTGCCTGCCCCCTCTGGGGGGAAAGTCCTAGCCCCACTTCTCCACCCCCTCCCATCCCTCCCCACAGCCCTGCTCCCATGGCTGAAGCCCCAGTGGCCTGCATGTGTGGGTCCATGCTCATGGCCACCCCTTCTCTCCGCAGGCGTTCGAGGTCCCGGTCCCGAAGTCCCCATTACCGACATTAGTAGTGGGGTCAGGGCAGGCAGGGTCCAAGGCTCAATCTTTAATACTGGTTTCTCTAGCGAAATAAAGCAGTATGTTATTTAATGCTCTTTACTTGGCCTCTGTCGTTTGTGTGGCCGGCGTGGCCCTCAAACTTCTGACTAGCAGCTTTGGAGGCACTTAGGCTTATAGGCCAGGTGTCAGTGTCACTGCAGCCACCTTAACCAGAACTGCTGTGGGTCACACACCCTGCCAAAGCCTGTGAGGCCTGCTTTGCTGGCAGGGGGCTGATCGAGTGGGAAAGGGCCCAGACCTGCCCACACATGTGGACAGGATGGGCCGGGACTGTGCCCAGGGGCCTCCGGCGACAGGTCCAGGCCTCTCCCCGCCCTCGCCTGGCCCTTGCCCTGGCCTCGCCCACACTGAGAACTGGGAACGCGGCTTTCTGTGCCAGCCCCGCTGCGCCCCGGGCACTGGGGCTGGCCTTTCCCTTCACCCGCCACTCCAAACCGGTCCATCCAGTGTCCACCCAAGGTGAAGCCTCCTGCCCCACCCCAACACCCCAAGAAAGCTAGAGTCCAGCACGTGGGTAAATAGGGAAGACATTTATTTGAACAAAGACAAGGACAACGAGGTCAGCACAATTGCTGACCAGTGTCGGGGACAGCCCTCCCGTGCTCAGGCCACCTCGCCCAGCTCGGGGTGCTTCTGCCGCAGGTGTTTGTCCAGGGTGGCTCGCAGGCCGAAGGGCACACAGCAGTGCGGGCACTTGAAGCGGGTGCTGCCAGGCTCCAGGCCGTGCATGCGGCGGTGGCGGTTGAGCTTGCTGCTCTGGGCGCAGGCGTAGGGACACTGGTCGCAGACGTAGGGCCGCTCCCCGGTGTGCGAGCGCCGGTGCACGGTCAGGTTGCTGCTGTTGGCGAAATGCTTCCCGCAAAACTCGCAGCTGCCCCCTGGCCCGCGGCTCTTGCCCGACGCCTTGGGGATCTTCTTGGGTGAGGTTTTCTGGTTCTCTGAAGGGTGAGTTCTCTCTTCTCTGCCCACCACTTGCCAGCCTTCCCCAGCCGGGCCTGCCTGAGCCCCGCTGCCAGGAGCACCAGGTTCCTGCATGCCTGCTGTGGCTGCAGCCCCAGCACCCTCGCCACCACTGCTGCATGGAAGGGCGGTGGCCGGGGCGGCAGCATGGGCAGCTGGCTCTGGAGGTGCCGTGGACACCTGCTCCTGGCTGGCGTCAGATGTGCAGGGGCTCTGGGGTGGCAGCTGCCGGTGGGTCTTCTTGTGGCGGTTGAGCTTGCTGCTCTGGGCGCAGGCGTAGGGACACTGGTCGCAGGCGTAGGGCCGCTCGCCGGTGTGCGAGCGCATGTGCACCTTGAGGTTGCTGAAGGAGCTGAGGGTCTTCATGCACACAGGGCAGGTGGGGCTCCGCCGGTTGAGGCCATTGAGCCGGGCACCCTTGGCCTGGGTCGGAGGCCCCACAGCTGCCACAGCAGACACGGCCGCAGCCACCTCAGCCAGGCCCAGCAGTGGGGCCTCAGGGGCCTCTGACTCTGTCTGGTAGATGGACAGCCCGTGGTCCCACTGGGCGTGGCGCAGCAGCTTCCAGGCACCTGTGAACTGCCTGCCACAGTGAAGACAGCTCAGCATCGCATGCTCCTTGAATTCTAGAGACAAGAGAGGTGCAGGAAGTTAGTGCTGGTGGGGAGGGGTGCTAGATACCAGGGGTCCTTTTTGGGGACAGGCTCAGCTCTAAATGTGGAAAACTCAGCAATAAAGGAGAGCACTAGACCCTCAGGAAGCTTCCTGAAGTAAGGAAAATGTGCTGAGTACAAGGGTTCTACATTTGCAAAATTAAACAACAATAACCAAAAAAAAAAAACTGTTAAGAGTGAGGGACAAGCCAGATGTGGTGCACACCTGTAATCCCAGGGCTCAGAAGGCTGAGGCAGGAGGATTGCCGAGAGTTTGAGTGTTCACGGCCAGCCAGGGCTCCACAGTGAGGTAAAAGCCAGCCTAGCTATATGGCCAGACCCTATCTCAAAAAAAGGACAGAGAGGGGTCAGGAAGTCCTTGCAGAAGAGGTAACCAGGGGCTGGGGTGGAACCCTTGGGTTCTATCTCTAGCACCCCAAAAAAGCGACTAAATTCAAAGAGCACTTCCTAGGTGCTAGGTACTGTGCCTGGCCTCTGCTCCCTTGGGCAAGGAAACAAGACCCCCCCAAACATAGGCAGAGGCATTTCCCTGGGCCACACAGCTTGGAGGGTGCAATGGGGACTTCAATCCAGAAACCTGGGGACTATGGGATGCAGAGCTGAGGCTTTTAAAAATATGAGGCATGGTGGTGCACACCTGTAATCCCAGCACTCAGGAGGCTGACGCAGGAGGATCCCTGCAAGTTCGAGGCCAGCCTGGGCTACACAGTGAGTTCAAGGGCAGCCTAAACTATACAGTGAGTCTCTAAAACAAACAAATAAAAAAACCGAACAAAACAAACTCGGCTTAATAGAGCAAAACCACCTCTCAACTAGTGGGTGTTTTTCTGTGCCAAGCCCCATGTTTAGGGATTCCACAATCATTTCCATTTCCCCACTTTGCAGAAGAGGCCACACACCTTGGTCTAGGTGGGGGAGGGGCAGGACCGTGACCTAAGCCCCCAGCCTCTGCATGAACCCCAAATGAAGAGGCCCCAGATCTCTCAAATCCTAGCCAGTCTCCAAAGGGGTGGTCTTTAGGCCGCAACACTGGCAGAGGCTGGGGAAGGTCAACCTGGCCTGCGACAAACTCAGACCCTCTGCTCCCTAAGTGTGACCCTGGGTAAAAGTAACCTCTCTGAACATCAGTTACCTCAGCTGTTACAGTATGGGGATTCCGGGGGTCCCCCCCTTTCCAGGATAGCTGTGACCTCAAATAGGAAACAGCTGAAGGCTTCGGTCCACATAAGCCCTCAACAAGCCTAAAATGAGCTTACAGACCAAGGGGCCTCCAATTCCACGTCCAATACTCGAGCTGGAGTGATTCCTTCAAGATTCTATCAAGCTCCACCCTCACCCAGGAGGACAGGCTCCAGGCCTCCAACTAAATTGGATTCAGTTACAGTCCCTCCCCTTTCCCACAGGCAGACCCTCCCTGGCTCAGCCTGGGATATAATCCCACTTTCCAGTCCCTGGAGGGCATGGGCTGGGGGCTGGAAATTCACAGGTTTGGAGAGTCTCACAGCCAAGGCTTAGGAAAATCATGCTGCGTATTGAGCGCCACATTAAGCATTTAAATTCCCTCCCAAGAGAACGATCCCGGGTGTCCAGCACCCCGGGCTCAAACCAGGGGCTTCCCAGCACCTAGAGCTGGGAGATTCCACCAAGGCAGAGAGCCAGGGCCCCTTCCTTGGCTCAGACTGGACCAGCACCTCAATCCATGTGATGAAGAGGTGGGAGGGGGTGGCAACCCCAGCTTCCAGCTGGCCTCGAGTCCCCTCCCCCACTCTGCCATCCTCCCAGGTCCCCCTAGTGCCCCCCTAGTCCAGCCACCTGGCCAGTTATTTCTGTCCAAGGGGAAGGAGAAGTGAAACCAGATTGGGGGGGTGTGTGTGGCAAATCCCCAGGCCAGTTTTCTGGGGCTGGCCACACCCTGCGGGCCACCTCCTGCCCTGCCCTGCCCAGCCTCCGCCCCCGCCCCCTCCCCACCTCTAGTCCCAGTCCCGCGACTGGCAAGCCCTGGTCACGCCTAGGCTCCACCCGAAGGGGAGAAAGGGGAAGTAGCGCTCGGTGCCCTGCCTGTCCAGCTCAGCCCCTTCTCCCGCAGGAAGCCCAGCCCTTGAACTTGAGAGGGAGACTGCCGGCGGCCTCACTCACCTGAGCCCTTGCAGGGGCTGGGGCCTCTGGAGGGCTGACAGCCCTGCTTCTTGTGGTCCATAAAGGCAGTGATGGCCTCTAGCGGGAAAGTCTGCAGGCAGCGGCCGCAGGTCAACAGATCTGGGTGTTTGTCGGTCCAGGGCTGGCGGTCTGCAGGGAGGAAGCGGCGGTGAGCGCGGGGTGGGGCCAGGATGGGGGCTGGGGGTTTTGAGAAAGAGAGCGAGAGGAAACCCTAAAGTCAGACTGGGGAGGCTGGGGCCAGGACCGGACGAGGGACCTGAAGCAGGCTCTGCGGTCCTTACCCAAGAAAGGGGATCCCGCCTGAGGGTCCCAGGGAGGGAAGCTGGCGCCAGGGCCCGGGGCAGGGGCTGGGCTGGGGCAGGGGCGCGGGAGCTCACCGGCTAGGCTCGAGGTCAGCCGCATGCAGTGGGCCCACGGACTCTGCGCGGCCAGGGCGTGGAGGGCGGCCCCGGCGGGCACGGGTCCAGGCGAGTGAAGGGGTTCGCCCTCGAAGCGCTCCAGCGTGGACACCTCCATCGGGGCCTGCAGGGCCCGCGCGTCCGGCTCCAGCTTCACATCGATGACGAGGTCCGACATCTCCATCTCCATCTCCTCGTTGTCTGCGCCGGCGGCGGGCGCGGGTTCTACTCTGCGGGGCGCGCTGCCGGCCTTGCGGCGGGACATGAGTCGCGGGCCGGGCGGGAAGGGCAGGCGGCCTGGCTGGCGGAGGACGCGCGAGCTGTGTGCGCTCGGAGCGAGGCGCTCAGGTGAGTGGCTGCGGCGACCCGCGGCGAACTTTTACACGTGCTGACCGGGCGGAGCTCCGCCCAGGAGGGCGGGGCCTGGCGGAGGACGGGGCGGCTTCGCAGGGGCCCTGCGTGCCGCCCTGCGTGCCGCCCTGCGTGCCGCCCTGCTCAATCCCCAAGCCCTGCGCACTACCGAAACCTGATAGCTCTAAATTCATACAACCCGGCTTAGCCCATTTGAAGGCTGGTGAAACTGAGGCACGGGATGCCCATATGCACCCTGAGAAATCGTGGGCCCGGGGCTGGGGATCTAGCTCAGCGGCACAGCGCCTACCTGGCAAGCGCAAGATCGTGAGTTCGATTCCCGGTACCAGAAAGAAAAAAAAAAAACCCGAAACCAAAAATATAAATAAATAAATTAATTAATAAAAAATAAAAAATAAATCGTGGGCCCCCTTCCTCACTAGGCGTTTAATAACCTGGAGTACTTTTTTGTTGTTGTTTAAAGATGAGAACCTCCCAGACTGGACTATTTCATTAAATGTGTTACAAGCTGGTCATGGCGCATGTTGCGCTCTGAGAGGCTGAGGCAGGAGGATTGGAGTCCATTCTGGGCAATTTATGGAGACCTTGTCTCTCTCTCTTTTTTTTTTTTTTTTTTTTTTGTACCGGGAACTCAGGACTTTGCGCTTGCCAGGCAGACGCTTATCCCAGGCACGATATTCCCAGCCCTGACCTTGTCTCAATATAAAAAGTAAAAAGGTACTGGAGATATAGCTCAGTGTGAAAGCCCCTGTGTTCGGTCCCCAGTAACACCACACACACACTCACATGCACAAATAATATTACTACAAGTAACATTTATCCAGCAACGGTTTATTGAACTATTTGCACAAGGCTCTGTTCTGCGCGCTGCGGGTGAAGAACGCGTGCGGTAAGGTTGTACTCACAGGGTTTATGGGGGGCGAGGACAGTACCCAGGGTAACTCTTAAGATGGAAGTCTCTGTCATGATCATACCTGCTGTGGAGCAAAATAAACCTAGGAAGGGGGACAGTGTTATTCCGATTTCAATTTTCCTATGTAGCCCAGGCTGGACTTGAACTCATGGCAATCGCCCTACCTCAGCCTCCCAAATACTGGGATTACAGGCGTGCTCCGTCATGCCCAAATTTGGGGGCTTCAGTTTTTCTTGATGCCAGCTAAGGACAGGTCAGAGCTGAAGCCTGAGGTAGCTGGCCAGGGTGTTCCAGAAGAAAAGGGAAAGCTTGGAGTGGGCCCCTGAATAAGGGTTGGGGACTGACTGCAGTGGGGAAAAAAGGAAAAATTGGCCAAGGTGGCGCCTGCCTGTGACCCCAGGGCTCTGGGAGGCTGAGATATAGTAGGATTGCAAGATTGGACCCAGCCCGTTGGACCCTGCAAGGGCTAGAGATGTATCTCAGTGCAAAGGTAATGGATTCCTAAATTCCATCATTGCCAGAACACACACAGAGAGAAATAGGGGCACACCCAGAGGGCTCTTTTGAACACTGCTTTTTTGTTTGTTTGGAGACAGGGCCTTGCTATGTAGCCCAGGCTGGCCTCGAAGTCATGGTAATCCTCCTGCCTCAGCCTCCAGAGTGCTGGGATTACATTGGAGTGCTGGGATTACAGGCGTGCACCACCACACCCACTCTTTTGAACACTGTGGACACTTCAAATCTTTTGATTTTCCTGAGACAGGAGCCCTGGGAGGGTTTGGGGTGGAGGAGGGGTACTTTCTACCTGGGCCTGAACTGGCCACTAAAAGGTGATAGGCAGCCATCCTCCCTACCTCTACTTGGCTGAAATCCTGTTTGTTTGAAGTGGCATCGACACCCTGCCCCACCCTTAAACCTTTACGAGAGATCTGTCTTCTTCCAGGCACTGACCGCATCACAGTGTGGAAGTGTTGTTAACTGGTCTCCCCACACCCACTCAGTGCGAGCCCCCTGAGGTTAAGGCCAGCGTCTGTGCCTGTCCCCCCCAGGTGTGGCCAGCTCAGTGCTGAGTGAATTCCAGATGCTGATCTTCCGGAGTTCCTCAGATTGTTATTCAGGTCCCAGCTCAATTGTCCTCCCAGAGGCCTCCCTGACCAGCCTATCTAAAGTAGCCCCACCCTGCCCAAGGCCTTGCAAATTACCCTCGATGACCTCCATCTGTCACCAGTTCCCTGTTGGACCTATCTCTTCAAGGACCTAAGAGACTACTGGAACTAGAGTTACCTGATCAGGGTGGCTTCTTCAATGCTCCCTCCTCTGACCACCCAATTTTAAACTTGCCCAACTCTGCAGCCCCCTGTGCCGTGGCTCTTATTTTATCCAGCCCCTCCCATCCTGGGGATTGAATTCAAAATTTTTCGCATGCTTTAGGCAAGCAGCTCTACCACTGAGGCACAGCCTCAGCCCTTTTTATTTTTTATTTTGAGGCAGGGTCTTGCTAAATTGTCCAGGCTGGACTCAAACTTGCAATCCTCCTGCCTAACCTCCCCACACTAGCTGGGATTACAGGAGTGTGCTCTGTGTTTATTTTATTCCTTTTATATCAATTTACACTTACATATTCAATTTTGACTTTGGAGACAAGGTCTTACTATGTAGTTCTGGCTGGCCTTGAACTCATTTTGTAGCCCAGGCTGGTCTCTGACTTGTGATGATCCTCATGCTTCAGCCTCCCGAGAGTTGGGATTACTGGCATGTGTCACTACACCTAGTTTACGTGAATTTATCAAATCTTGAAAAGTCTTTTATGTACTTTTTCATTTATACCCTCCGCTGTAACTCCTACCCCCTATAGAGCAGAGGTTGTGAGGACAAGATTAGTCTGTCTAGACTAATAAATAAATAGAGCCCCCTCCTAGACAGGATTAAGGGAACAACTCTTTATTGTACTGCTATGCACGGAAGATTCATTCCATCGATACTTGTGGAGTACAGTACCTGTGTGCCAGATACTGACTGGGTCTTGGGATCTTCCAGGCAAGCAGAGGTCCTCGGGTCTCCCCCCAAGTGGACCCTACTTCCAAAAAGTGAATGTGATCTGGGCCGAGAGCAGCAAGATTCCTGCTCCCCACTCAGGGCCTCAGCTTCCCACTTTGTAAAAGGGGGCTGCAGGGAGGGCTGGCACACAAACTGGCGGCCTCCTGTCCATCCCAGCAGCGCCGCTTTAAGCCCCTCTCCCGGCACGTGGCTGCCGAAGCATGGGGGAGGTGAGGGGCAGGAGTGTGCACGGCGGGATGAGAAGGCAAGGACCGAACGCTGCCCCTAACGCTGCCGAGGACACCTTCCCCTCTCAGCCTGTTTCACTCTCTGTGAAACGGGTATCCCAGACGTCCCCAGATCACAAGCTGGCTGGCCTGAGCCGGCGGAGGGGCCATGGCCACAGCGGTAGCCAGCGGGCCGGCGACCACGTGGGGCGGCCGCAGCGGCGCGGGCGGAACCCAGGCTCCGGGGCGCGCGGCCGGCCCGGCCCTCTGCGGGGGTGGCACCGGCGGAAGTGAGGGCGCCGGCGGCTGCGGACCTCGGTGAGTCCTGGGCGGCCGGGCGGGCCAACAGCGGGTTCCTGGCCCCAAAGGCCGGGAGTGGCGGGAAGACGAGGACCGAGCCTGCAAGGCGGGCTGCGGGGACGCTCCACGCGGGTGGGGAGGGGGCCGGGGGCGGGCGGGATACTGGCCCTGGGCAGATCCAACGACCACGCTGAGAAGTGGAGGGACGGCGACAGCCACTAGCCCCGCCTGCGCCGGGTGAAATCAGCCGCGGGCTCCTGGGAGCGGGGAGTCGGGAAGAGCGTCCAGCCCGGGGCGGGGCGGAGGTGGACGCCTGGGGCCCGGGAGGACCTGCTTAGTATAAGAAAAGGCGAGCGGCGGGTGGCCCGGGCGGAACTGAAAGAAAACTGACCGGCTCCAGGGGCGGAGGGGGAGGGAGGGCCGGGAGAGAATCCGCGCTGTGGATTTTCTTCCTCTCGGAGGCTCCGTGTCACTAATCTGCTTCCACACGGGGCGACACGGCAACACCGCCACGTGTGTGTGTGTGCACGTGGAGATCCGCACCTTGTTTCGTTAGGTCTGGGACCTTGCGTTTATCCTCGTAGGTAACTCAGCTGGTTCCCCACCTCACTGCTTTGATAGGATACCGAATATTTCTCCACTTTTGTGTGTGTGGTGCTAGGAATGGACCCCAGGGCCTCCTGCAGGGCCTCCTGCATGTTCTCAGTTGTTTTGTTTTTTTTTTTTTTTTCTGTTTTTGTTTTATTTTATTTTGTTTTGTTGGTGAAAGGCCCTAGCTGTGTAATTCAGGCTGGCCTTGAACTCATTATGTAGTCCAGGAGGGCCTCAAACGGGCAGTGATCCTGCTGCCTCAGTTGCCCGAGAGCTGAGATTATAGGCGTTTCCGCCACACCGGCCACTGTCTTATCTTTTGTTTTGTTTTGGTTTTTTTCCGGAACCGGGAATCCAACTCACGACTTTCTGCTTGCCAGGCAGGCGCTGGGCCGCTGAGCTTAAATCCCCAGCCCCCGGTTTTAGCTTTTGAAAGTGAGCACTGAGGCCTTAAGTAGAGAGACCGTGAACTAATTCTCTGCCTCCGCCTTCCACCTGAGTGCTGGGCTTTTGTCTAATGGATAAATCTGGGCATTTTTCCTGAAACCCTCAGGCAGGAAATTTCTGATTTTGAGCCTGAAGGGATTAAAGCCTCTGGAGGTCAGGAAGAATGGATAATTTCAGCCTTTCCTTGCCTTCTCTGACACACCCTGTTGACCATTCTCAAACCAGTTTCTTATCAGGTCACACTTTGGCTCCAGAACCTTGAAAGGCTCCTCCAGGGCAGGTGGAAGAAGTCTGCATTGGTTAGGTGGTGAGGGCCGCTGCTCCTTTGTCAGGCAAGCCAGAGTTGGTGCCCTTTGCCTGCCACCACCAGCCTGTACCCAGTAAATGATTTGACATTTCCCAGCTTCAGGTCCTCAGTAGAAAGTGGGGATTACTTGCATGTGACCATATCTCTTGTT